GGTGTTGTCTGTCACAAGTGCAATTTTCACACAGTGTTGTTTGCATTTTTCACTGGTATTAGTATTTGGTAGTAGCATCGGATGACGCGAAGAAACGATTATTGAGCCGGAGGTAGCAGAATAGCTCTTTGCTGGCATGGAACGAGCATTTTCGGACAGATGGGATAGCAGATGGGGCTGCCACGGGTACCCAGGATGCTTTCCATTTTTTTTCGAGGAAGGTCACTTGGCGACCATAGGTACATAATTTAGCAACAAGACCGCAAATAAAAAAAGATCAAGGAAGAAACAGGCAGAGGAGATCTGCCCCTTATGGGACCCATACTGGACCTGTACGTGCATAGCGAAGAAAGGGCGTAGTCGGACGACTCTCGCTTGCTAGCATCAGCTCTGTCTCCATATCACCTTACTCTCACAACTCGATAGAGAGAGAGAAAGCTAGTAGCGGTAGCAGTGGTCAGTGGAATGGTGGCTTTGTTATGAGCAGGTCGCGATTTCCTCTCGTATTTTCGAGCTGTGAAAACAGTAAATCCTCTATGCCTGCAGGCAGTACTACCATGTCTAAAGAAGATATTCGAACATCAAATGAACTGAGCGTGCCTTCAAACTGCTACGAAATTGATACATGGGCCACTTTGATCGCATCAAGGACCCAAGCGGTGTGGAAGATGTTCCTATGTAGTGGTGTAGCTCTCAGCTTTTATCAGTTGCTGTCATCAGGGTACAGCATCGTGATATGTGGGGTGGTGGTGTGGATACGACCCGCTCCCTTCTCCGACACCTACCTACCAACTTCCTCATATTAAAGTCCGGTATTTCACCCAAAAATTTTTCCGTCGAGCGAGGGCGAGAGGTGAGGGGGGGGGGGGGTGGGGTGGGGGTATATAGTGCACATGAAACAGGAAAAATCACGCAAAAGTCAACAACCGGAAAACCAACGCGACAAATTTCTCTCAAAGGCACATACGACCCCTCTCCCTCCCAACGACCAAATACGACCCCCTCCGAAGAAGTACGACCCCTCTATGTGTTTCACACAACGATGCTGTACCCTGGCTGTCATTTCCCGGCATCCATAATGTTCTATACGATTCCTTGGAAATAATTCCTACTGCTGCTGCGAAGTGCATAAACAAATTGGTGCCCCTTCCCCTCTAACGTCCCTAATCAAATATTTTCAGTCGCTCTTTCGTCCTGCCACCCACCAGTGGTGCTCCCTCCAAACCGCCTAAATCACATCTTGGAAGATCCCACTGTTACAGCGGGGGGCGTTCATAAATTTCGTGGTAGGCACGTACAGGGGGGGGGCAAAAAAAGTCACTTTGCTTCATTGACTTTCGAGGCGCTATAAGTTACACTTTATAAATTCTGATCGGACATTTCTACCATATTAAAGAGCATATTAAATACTATTATGACACTCCGCCACAGCCTTCTGGAGGAGCGCCATCGAGAGATTCTGGCACGCAACCGCGATGTGGTGCCTGAGATCAGCGAGATAGTCGATTTCTCCGCCACCGTAGACCACCCTATTGAACTCCGCCCGAACCGGGTAATTGAGGGGATTCAGGTCAGGTGACCTACTTGGATATTCCATCTTCTTTAGGTACTCAGCCCCCTTCCAGTAGGCGAGTTTCTCCAACGCCCTTCGATTCCACGTGGTGGCACCCAATGCTGTAGCAGTACAAAGTTTCCAAGAAGGTACGGGCGACGACATGTGGGGAAGATATTCTTCTTGAGTTGGTCGATGTAACCGCCAGCGCTCAGCTTCAGCCGGGGTCCACGAAGAAAATATTGGCCTTTCCATTTCAGGTACGTCCGGTCCATACCATCAACCCGCGCCTTGGCGACTGTGGTGAAGATGATGTCCCTAAACCGCCGCGCGACTTTTGTTCGGGTAGACTGCTCGATGTTTGGAAGGTCTTCAAGATCGAAACATAGCCATACTCTGGTCTCCAGGTAGCTATCCATGGGTGACTCCATACTAGAAGTTTCGCAGCTGTTTGGAGGTGACATGAATTCCAAAGGTCTTCTCCAGTCAGGCTGCGACTGGAGATGACCTCATATTTTGGTGTACATGAAGGTGATGGGCGAGGGCCAGCTCCTGCTTATCGAGGAACATCTTGGGTATCTTCCGCCCTGGTACTCGTATCCACGTCCTCTGTCTGGGCTGCGAAAACTTTGCTGATATGTGACTCGGTCGAAGTGACTTTTTTTTGGCCCCCTGTACATACACTCACTCTTAGAGGCATATTCAAGAGGTTATAAACAGTACGATGAGGAAAAAAGATAGTAAGGCCGATGAATAACAAAAACGTACATGATGAGCTCAAACTTACAGTTCTGTTCTCAGCTGATTCTGCATCACATTCGAAAGGAGGTTCAGTTTTGACATCTTGAGATTCTATTGTCTTTTCTTTTGTGACCTCAATGGGATCAAAGCAACTCCTCGGTTCCTCTTTTTTGACTATCCCATTAATATCATCCAATAATCTGTCGATGAGATCTTGTCGTATGCCTACGCGGCTCAGACCTCTCCTAGTCAGTTCCTGCAAACAACTAGGATATATGCAACATACTTCAATAGAAAAATATATGCCTACTAAAATTACACTGGAGCGCAAGTTTCTTTAGAGAGGAGGGGCTTTGGAAATGACGAAAATGACCTAGGTAGGTTGGTCATTTCAGCCCCTATGCAATGTATCGACATTGGCTTAGAGTATTCATCAGGGAGATAGGATACACCGCAAGCAACTGCACTGGGGGAATCGCACTCCATATAAATCGTTTCTTTATAACTGGTGGCAACCCAGGCTTTTTATAGCTCAAACTTCCACTCAGACGTTCTGAAGCAGATAATGATAATGAGAGTTAAATGCGTGACCATTCCACAGGGACTGGTTAGCGCTGTGATGTGCAACCGGTGACCACTCGTAATGGAGCTGGAATCATTTTGCAACGATTTTTCTTCCTGTCATTGGACAGGAACTCATGGATATGCTCTACACTCCTAGCCAACCCCCCGCCCTCAAGAGCCAGCGCTTCTCATTGTCGAATCAAAGCGGCAAAAGGTTATAGTTTGATCGGTAAGCTTCAACGGTTCTCAAGACAATGTTAACAAACCAGTAAATCATCCAACGGACTGTTTACTGGAATAGTCCTGGGATCGTTGAAGTGTATGGGCTGAAAGCCTCAAAATGTTTTTTGACCATTTCAGGCTCTGACGAAGTCGAAGACGCCGAGAGGTAGGCCTAATGAAGTCGCTCGATCTTGAAAAAGCTTGAATATTCACGACAACGAAACGATCGATTTCCCTGCTGAAATATGCTGCTCTCGGCAAGGAATGAGCATAGGAGCAGCCTGCTGCGTGATCCTTCCCCACCAAACACGTCAGCACCGAAAACTTAGTCTCAGGTGGCAATAAGTTACGTCTGAGTTGACAAAATTGACACTAAGGCGCTGCCATGAGGCTCCACCCACCGAACAACGCTAGGAATCTAGTTTCCCCAACCGGCTTAACCGTGAGCATCAGCAGGTTTTATAACTGGTTGCAAACAAGGATCAGAGCAATTTCATTGCAAGAAAGTGATGAGAATTAATATTACCCACCTGTCTCAGCCTGGCGTCAGACCAGAGGAAGATCGTAGAAGGTGACAGCACCGAAGTGTCACCTTTTGCACAACTACGTCGCGGTCGGGAAGACATTAAGACGAGTAACAAACAGAATACGAGCAAAGTAAGTAAAATAAGCGAGACGCCCACGACTCGCAGCTACAAATGTTGAAATACCTGAAATATGTCATAGTGCGTTTATACTTCGCGGCAGCGATGTGAGCGTCTGCCAGCGTTTTAAGCGACTAAGAAAGTTAGGTGCCAACTCAACCTTATGAGCGCCCACCAGCATTTTGAGCATCTGCTGAGGTCTTCAGCGACGATCAAGACCTATAATTTATTAGCCGCTCCGAACGCTAGATCGATACCTATCATTTCCTTGTCGCTCAAAACGCTCAAAGTATAAACGCACTCTTAGAAAGACTAGAAACCCTGTACAAATAACTGTGCTCATCGATACGTTTTTAAATTAAATGAATTGATGTGATATGAATGAAATTGCTCTTAATGACGTCAGAACCCTTACGTCGCTGTCCGTGAGGTAGAGAAATTCCAATTTAGTGAAAAAAATACTTCTTTCCATCGCAAGAGGGGCTACTTCTACTCTTAGGCTGCCAAGGGTTATTCGCCGAAGGTTGAGACTTGAGGGTTGCATAGAGTTTAATAAAACTGTTTAACAAAAAGAAAACTTTGTTGTGAATCATGCAAAGTTCCTGGTTCTCGAATGTTTTGATATAAACTTCGAAAACGATTCCAAACACTCGTCAAAATCGCTCACCCCGAAGCTGTTACTCAGTATACTCAAGTATTTAAGAGACGGCATGATACTCTCCCATCCAGAATTGTTTTAGAAAGAACGAACTAGTCAGTGAGATTTAATGTAACCTTCCCTACGAGAACCGCCACTACCTTTTGGAAAAGTCACGATATCCTGAGATTGGAAGATAAAGATGAATCAAAATAAAACAAATTGCCCTCCAAAAACAAAATGCATCATTTTCTACTCAAAAGGGAAAATCAGAGCCATGATGTAAGCCCTGAGATACCAAGAATTTCGAAAAAAGGAACACCGGAAGAATTGAAAACTCTCTGCACTTTTCCTGCGTGCGGTCGCGAAGCGTGTTTGCGATTAGGGCAGATGCATTGACCTTTCCCACCTTCGCTCATCAGTTTGCCCAGTCGTTCATAAAGTTGCAGTTGCAGTTTGGGGAAAACTTACGTAGGCAGAATTAGGGTAAGGGCATTCAGAAATAATACAGAAGGTGTCATGTGGCACATCTGAGAGGAACAAAGCAAAGATAAGAGTCGATAACGCACTAAATAACACTTCTTTGTGCGACACATAACGAGGAGACAAAGCGTATTAACTCGTTGTTATGATTAATAATTACAGTAGCATTTTTCCTTTTGACACTGAGGTGGTGTAGTGGCAAGTGGCACGCATACCACGCGCGTGGTCCGCGGATCAAGTCCCGGCCCCTTGCCCAGGCCAGCAGAGTCCTCCTCTGCCACCCGGAGACGGTAAATTCGCACAAGATTTGTCTGGGAAGATAACAACACTGACTTGTACAAATCATTGTATAGACAACGCGCATTCAATAAGCCACTACGATCTGTGGAAGGAGAATGCGTGCCGCTTCCAGAAAGGAAATGATTAGTCGCGGAGGTATTATACTTTTTATTTTTCTCGTGCAACATCACTTTCACCGCTGGGGTCCTTATCATTTCCTCTGACATTGGACTTCATCGTCATTTTGACTCCAAAAGCATGTCTAAAATAAATTTGGCTCCTCCTGTGCATCTCATGAGTCGCCTCTATTCCTAGACCCGTCCGCACGGCGCGTGTCGCGCGCGGTCCCCTTGACCACGCTGCCGGTTTTACTAAATGATGGGCGCTATTATAGGACAAAGAAGCAATCTCACTGATGCGGAGTATAGCTGTTAATAGGGTAGTCCATGAAGCCTAATACGTCCTACAAGTGCGAATTCATAGGAGATCAGAGTAAGGTACCTGCTCTTCTCCTGTAATATGTTCCAAGAAATCCCATCATGGACCCAAATTTGACATACTTTGATTTTCGAAAATTTGGATTGACTGAATATAAAAAAAAACCCTGGGCACCCACAATATCGAATTAAGGAGCAACCTACACCGGCGGTTGCCAAGGATGGCCGAAATCCTAACTTGTTTTCTTGAAGTACGCTCACTAGAGAAAGCGAACACGACCATGGATGACCGTTTGATCGTCCTAAGGGTACCTGTCTCATCAAGCCATTCTGTCGAAGTGCTATGCAATTCAGGGAGACGATTTTCACCAATATGATGGGTTTTGCCAAATTCATCTACTTTGACAACCACTGGAAGTCGTTGGTTCTATTAATTTGAACATTCAGATAGTGAGGTCGTGCGGTTTATTGGCCTGAACTCACATTAGCTGAGACTTTCTCGAGGGAATCAGTGAGTTTCAAAGATTGAGCTGATGTCAGTTGAGATCATAATAGCTGGAGCAACGTAAATAATTAGGATGTCTCGCAAAGAACATGTCCTTCTTATCGAGTGATTATGATGTAATGGATGTTCAGAAGCAAGACCGCTCACAGAACTTTCGAAGAAAGTTGCCATCCACTTCGCTGTTGTTTTTGCGTATCCGAATCATTCCAATGCTTTTCGATGCCCATTCTTCATTTTTGTTGCGCTTCTTTATATTCAAAATGTGAAAGCTTTATAAGCCTGTGAAAACCGTTAAACTACATTGGTGGCCACTACTTCCAACCTTAACATTCATTCGCCTAGCATTCTTCACGAAGCTGTTATACTACACAGTCGAGCATTTCAATCAATTTCAACTTCGCGTCCTTCGTCTCCTGGCTCGCTTAATTCTCTGCTCGTGAACGCGCTACAAAACACGCAATATGGCAACATGCAAAGGCGTCAGCGCGCGCGCCACACGGCCGTGCGGAACGGGTCTAGATAGGGGCGACCGTGCATCATGCACTATACTGTGTGATAATTACAAGGTGAAGAAGAGCGTGTCCCACATTTGTCTGGTATAGCGCGATTTCCCGCAGAGCATTGGAAATGCCCTGCAGACTCCCCATGATCCACTCAACCTCCTTAGGTAATATAGGCGTTTGTTTGAAATATGGAATGTGAGCTGTCAAGGATCGGTTTTGTGAAGAGAATTACCAACGGCTTAATGTCGCGCGAGCGCGCCTTCATAGGCTCCTCAGCCTCAACCAAGTTCGTAAGGGGGATAAATGGCAGTTGAAAACGTTGTATTTGGGACTGGGTGGATGAAAGATGGAGTCCAGTCGACTGAAATACTTGCTTTTAGAACGCCTATGACCCCATAGCGATGGGCCGTGTGAGAATTTATTTCATGGCTACTGTTGCTGGTGAGCTGGCAGAGGGCGCCGATTCTGCAGGCATCAGTTTGGAGTGGAGAAAGGCGCCGAGGTACCGCGCCTGGAATCCTTTGACTCCCACCGCAATCTTTTTGCATTCAGACAAGTCTGTTGGGGAAAGCGAGCGCGCCGTTAGCCTGCGGCGCGTGTCGGATTCCTGCGAGCTAACGGTAGTGGTCAATACGCCGGCGCTAAAAAACGGCGCGAAACACATTTCGGCGGGTATTGAGCCTATAAAAGACTTGATTTCTGTACATGTTCAGGTTTTTCTCTTCTGCCAAACCCCCACCGCAGAGCCCCGACGTCCTTTCTGCTTCATCTCTAAGTGATTTTCGATTATCCTCCCGGTTAGGACGACAACCACCCGACGCTACATGGACGGCACTCCTTTGGATATCAAGTTCACAACCTCGAAACCTTCGCATCCGCGCCCAGCGTGTACTCCAACCTTCGGCCTTTCCCACCCCCTTAGGGTTGTTTCATTATTTTTCATTGCTACTGAACTGCTTTGCTATTGATTTAATTTTTTTTACTCACGCTCGTGTCTTTTGTTCTTATTGTTAATGAATTTTCACCACGCCTATTCGTGCTTACCTAAGAGTGGTTTTAAACCATCACGTTGGTGCTTACGTTCTCGGCCCCCCGTTTTGATCCTTCCGTATTTCGTCATCACGTGTGTGTGACGTGTACATGATACTATTTCACCAGACTAGCTATCACTCATCCACCCTGCATTTGCAGGCTACAATGCCGCACAATTACCAGTGCAAAACCATGTCACAGTGGTGATTGTGCGGCATTGTGGCCTTCTTCGAATCCCAGCCCCCGTCGTTCTGGGAGGATGGAATCGACAAGCTGCCTGAGCGCTGGCGACGAGTAGTTCATGGTGATGGTGCATACCTCTAATCTTCAGGTTGGTTCGCTATTGAGATATTTACGAAAAAGTCGTGGCTAAGAACTTATGCACCAACCTAATATCTTCACCACTAAACCTAACTTGGGGGCCAAGCCACCACTCGTAGGTATTCTCGAGTAGGGTCCTCCGTAACTTTTTTCCGCGTCCGTTCTTTCGCCGGTTTTGTCGTCGTCGACGACCTCCCCCCTTCATTATGTCTAAGTCAGTCAATGTCTAACTCCCTCTCCTCACTCATGGAGGCGGGGCACCTGTAGATTTGTTGGGTCTTCATCATTCAAGGTTGTGCTGGCGTAGGAGACACTCGTCCACGCCGATTTTGCTCTCTCATCACATAGATAATAAATATTCCACTGAACCGCCTTTTGTTCTGTAAACGGCAAAAAGCCCAGTCTTCCGCATCCATCCTGGTCATTTTGGTGCATCGGCCTAACAGCCAACTTTCCCGGCCTACGAAGAAGTTACGAATAATTAGTACATTGAACAGATTCGTATCATTTACTGGTAGCCATGGAGGTAACAGGAGGTCCGAAAGGGAAAAAGTGTTTGACGAGGCGCACAGGGGATGTCTGGCGGGACATTTCTCGGCTAAGAAAATGTGTCGAATACTGAAGAAATCGGTCTTCTGGGAATCTATGGAGAAAAACGTCGCAAAATGGGTGCGGGCTTGCAGGGAATGCTTCCTAACAAACCCGCGGCCGACAAATACCCCACCGCTAAAGCCATTTGTAGCAAGTAGACCTTTTGACTGCGTGTGTGCTGACATTTTGGAGATGGGACTTCAGCACCAGTGGGATGAAATACATTCTGGTGTTAGTGGATCACTTCTCCAAGTGGTTAGGAGCGTATCCATTGAGAGACAAGGGAGCAGCCTCGGTCGCTCAAGTGATATTTCAGAGATGGGTATGTGAGGGAGGCCGTTGGCCGAGACAGTTACACACGGATCAGGGTACCGAGTTTGTAAACGAGGTAATTAGTGAACTCACAAAGATCTCTGGGATTGAACACACAAAGATATAATTCGCGGGAGAATGGCGCTGCAGAACGAGCTATAGGGACTTTACAGAGAATACTAAGAAGAAGATAGAGTTCCCTGAGCTATGGGATGTAATGCTTCCGAATGCCGGTTTTCGCGTATAATGTAACGCCGCATGCAGCGACAGGTGAAAGTCCATTCTTCCTTTTGTACGGGTTTGACCCAGTGATTCCGCTGAATGGACTACCGGAGAGTAGGGTTCGATTAAGTCAGATTGATCTTGATGACTATAAAACAGAACTCATCCGTGGTTGCGAGTGATTCGCGAGGAAGTGTGTCAACAGACGGAGAAGTATAGAGAGAGAATGAAAAAATATTATGATGAGAAGAAAAACGTAAGCTCGTCATTTTTGTTCAAAGGCGGCGAGAGAGTTTTCATGAAGATGCCACGCGAGAGGAGCCGCGCCAAGTACCCAAATTGGTCTGCGAATGGGATGGACCATATAGAGGTATCGAAGTGAGCGAGAATTCGGCACGGCATATGCATTCTTTCGTACTCGCTGTACCTCACGTAGCCATTATGGCTAGCATGGTACCCGTTGGTGCGAAGTTCAGCCGCGCGATGCTCAAAGGATGGCCATGGGACATCACAAGGATAGTGGAGTATGGCTGGAATATCAGTCGCAAGCTGGACTGGACGACCATCGCAGCGGAGGTCGGGAAGACCAGCGAGCATGGACGACTTGTTCTTGTCATTCCGGAGGTGCTCAGAAGGCTTACTCTTTGCCAGAAGGGCTCGAAAGCCAGATTGTTCTACTACCGCTCCTTTCGAGAAATCAAAAGGAGCAACAACGTCCTTTTCGCGGATGAAGTCGGTAACGCAGTAGTGGTACTGCCACCGAAGGAGCCGGACGACCCATATTCCTGGATACCCTTCGTGGGAGCAGTGGACTTGTGGATGCGCTGTGGGGCCCATGTCTGGATGGTCAACGGACCGAGGTTTGAGGAGGACGGCACGTGGTCTCGGATGAATTCGAAAGCGAGAACGCATGTTGTCGGCTATCTAGATAGTCATACGGACTTCCGCACAATGGCACGATCTGGTCCACGCTAAAGCTGATGCAATGAAAGTTTCCATGGGTGCCTCAGGGTAGGAGTAGAAAAGGATCCGGGTAGTGGACAGTCGAGCAAGCGTTGGAGTTCTACAGCCACTTGTCCAACCAGCTCCACGCGCTCGAGTTGGAGCCGATCAGGATGCCAAGGTCGATGAAATCGCCAGGAACTCCGGCGAAGCAAGGACGTGGCCAAGGATCGTCAGGAAAGCCGGCGATAATGGATGGCCGAATCTCGAAAAGGCACCTGAAACGGAAAGAGAAGCGGCACCAAAGAAGTCTGGAGCGCGCGGCTGAACACGCGTTCAGCAAAATGGAGCTCGGACGAGCTGGGGACAGCTCGCTATAGGAGGAGGGGCATGTTAGGGAGGAGCGCGCATGTAGGCCTGGCGCGTGTTCGATCTTTCGAATACGCTAGTGGTCAATAGGCCGGCGCTAAGAAACGTTGCGCGAAACAGACATTTTGGCGGGTATTGAGCCTATAAAAGACTTGATTTCTGTACTTGTTCAGGTTTTTCTCTTCTGCCAAACCCCCACCGCAGAGTCCCGACGTCTTTTCTGCTTCATCTCTAAGTGATTCTTCGATTATCCTTCCGGTAGGACGACGACGACCCGACGCTACACGGACGGCATCCCTTTGGATATCAACTTCACGACCTCGGAACTTTCGCCTCCGCACCCAGCGTGTACTCCAAACTGCGGCCTTCCCCACCCCGTTAGGGTTGTTTCATTTTTTATTGCTATTGATTTGCGTTGCTATTGATCTGGTTTTTTGTACCCACGTCGTTCGTTCTTATTGTTAATGAATTTTCACTAAGCCTATTCGTGTTTCTAACTAGGGAAGGTCGTCAGGTCGAAGTGGCCATTTGTAATGAGATGTAGCTCACTAGACGTGGTTTTGGACGCTGATCTCGAATCTGCCTTCGAAATTTGCAGAGCGATTCTCTGAACGGAGTTTTTTTACACCCGTTTACTAACAGGTCGTGGGATCGGATCCCTGCTGAGCTTAACTTTTTTGCTTCTTGTGCAAACGTGGCAAAAAGTGGTTGTGGCGTCACTACTACATTAGCGCTCTCCTTGACTTGCCTGAAAAACAGTTTGCGTTCGCTTACTGGCGCGCTTACAAGGGAGGTGTTTCAGGTCGTGGCGCGCTTTTTGGAAATGGTTTGTTGCTTGTTGTAGGGGTCCATACAAGGATCACAAAAATGGGTTTCATTTTTGCTATGCGTTTCTGGTAGGTCAAAAACTGAGTGAAAAGAATTTGACAAGAATGGGCGGTTTTAACAACCTTAATGGGCTCCGTTCTGCTTGTAACTTCGAGCATGCATAGTTTATGAGGTGGTCACTAATTAGGCCTCAAAATAGATTCGATTAAAGTCAAAATGTAAGTATCATGTGGTAACACACTTGGCATGCACCGACGCAAGAGTGATGTTTTTGTCAGCGCTCCCTTCATGACCATTGCTGGCGGATCGGATGGCGTAGCGGATAGCACGATGGATTCTGGATGGCACGACAATGCGGGACTCGGTTCGGATCCTCATTGCGGCAACAGTTTTGCATCTGTATCAACGCAACGAGACGTGAACATTTCCGGAAACAAGGTTCTCCACACAACTGTGCTGGTTTGTAAGGTGTCATCCAGGAAAGGCCAATAGGACAACCTGGCCATTTGCAGTGAGTGCATATCATTGTACTCGTCTTGACACAGTGAACTCGAAACTACCTTCAAAATTTGCGGAACGATTCTCTGAGCGGAGTTATGGAGGTTTTCCTTCACTGTTTTTCTTCTTGCGGGTGGGCTGGCGCAGTGAATTTTAGCGCGACTCACAGCTCTCTCCGTGCGAAATAGATATCATATTCGTGTTCAGGGGGTCAAACAACCCCTAGAAACGCCACCTTGAGGAAATCCGAGGTTCTGAAATAACTATTCAGTCATGTCTTTTCGCAAAGAACAATACCTGGCTCACTTGTTCGTGCCGCCTGCATCATTTTCCTGATTACCGGTAGAAAATTCCATCCCAAGACCAGTCATCCATGGTGGGTGGACCCCAGCCTGCTGCCAAATTGTCCATAGAATGGCCCACATTTTCCAAGTTAGGTCGAAACGTCAGATTTGGCTAGAAATTAGTAGGGGTAATCCAACCCGCTGAACATAAATGTGATGGTATTTCATTGCAATAACCCTTCTGACATGAACTACGAGGGGCAGCACAAGCACGCTTTCTGGCCACAATGTGGCCACAAGTATATGCCTTCAAATGGCATATACTTGACTTATTTCCACTGCCAGACACACAGGCACGCGAATGAATGGAAAGCTGAAAAATGCAAAACATTTTCCGCGAGGAGGATCCGATCCACAAAGTCCCCCCTTGCCGTGCCATCCAGAACCCGTCGTGTTATCCATCCGATCCGTTGGCAGTGGTCGTGAAGGGTTTGCTGACAAAAACATCACTCTTGCGTCGTGCATGCCAAGTGTGTTACCACATGATACTTACATTTTGACTTTAATCGAATCTATTTTGAGGCCTAATTAGTGACCACCTCATAAACTATGCATGCTCGAAGTTACAAGCAGAAAGGAGCCCATTAAGGTTGTTAAAACCGCCCATTCTTGTCAAATTCTTTTCACTCAGTTTTTGACCTACCCAGAAACGCATAGCAAAAATGAAACCCATTTTTGTGACCCTTGTATGGACCCCTACAACAAGCAACAAACCATTTCCAAAAAGCGCGCCATGACCTGAAACACCTCCCTTGTTAGTGCCTTATGATCTAGGAGAATTTTTGGATGTACAGGTGCCCTTGGGCGCAGTGCAGGCGTTTTCGCGCTGAGCGAGTGCCATATTCGTGTTTATGGGGGCGAACTACGCCTAGGTAGAGGTTTCTAGCCAAATCTGGCATTTTGACCTGACTTCGAAAAGTGAAGCATCCATGGGTTAGTTCAGTTGATGTTCACACCTATTCAGCTGCAGATACATTCTCCTGCACAAAGCCTCGTCTTGCCACTTCTTACGCATTCATGTTGTTACTGCTCCAGTTTTCCTGATATCTAAAATCTCCTATTCTATCAGAGGGACATATGAACAGTGGTCTGATATACACTGTTCATCGTAGAGCCCGTTTCGCCTTTTTCCCTTCTCTTGCCGCGGTGGACTTGGTGAGTTAGTTGTACATACGGGAGTTTTTCGGTTGTTCCTTGAAGTTCCGTCAGAAACGCTAGGGGGACGAGGCGTTTGACGGTTTAGAAAGCAAATTAGAAATCTTGAGCCACGTTCAGGCCCCCGAGGATTTGGTCGAAACGTTAGGCCGTCAATAAACAGTTCCACCTAACAACCTCGCAGGCATAAAAGAATTAAAACAAGTAACAACGATGCCGAGGTTGTACGAAGAGAGAAGTTGGAGACCATTAGCAAAGTGATTAGAATTGCGAAGCGGAATTTCTGGGGGAAATTTGTGCCTCGGGATCGAGTTACGATTAAGCAAAACGTTTTGTCCCAACTGATAAACCTTGTATTAACAATCAGCGCCATATGACAACACCGGTTAACAAATTATCCGAAACCTGCTGAATACGCCTCTGAACAGAGCTCTTACTTGCTTCTCATGCCTCACTATTCTGTAGCAAACAAATAACAGGTTGTTTTTATCTGCCAATTATCTACAAAAATTTTTGAGTTTTTGTGTCTTTGTATTTTTTATGTTTGTTGTTTTGTGCTTTTTCTGTTTTAGAATGAAAAAATGGCACTGCCACTCAGTGAAATTAACAGAAATCCCACTCGTTGTTAGAGGCATGTTCTACACAGATCGTACGAGCTGAGCTACATTAACAATACTGCTGGGATGCATGGTATGAAGCAAAACTGAGTTCATAATCTCGTTGAAGGTGGTACTTATTCAGCTCGAACTGTATGCAACTTATGAAAAAG